GGGGGGGGGGAGGGGGGGAGAGGAATGTGGATATGTTTGTCTGAAGGTTTGAGACTGTGATAAAGTTATGTGATTGGCGATTATAATGAGCACGCAATTTTTATCGGGTATATGTAGCCAGTCAGTATAATCTGCAGACTGCGGACTGCAGACCGGACTGGGTACAAAATGCAGACTGGGGGTATAAAATGCAGACTGAGGATAAAATGCAGACTGGGGGTGAATTAGGGATATTTTACAAATTCCCGCCAAGCCATAGTCACGTGATCGTTCTTGTTGACGATCACGTGACTATGGCTTGGCGGGAATTTGTAAAATATCCCTAATTCACCCCCAGTCTGCATTTTATCCTCAGTCTGCATTTTATACCCCCAGTCTGCATTTTGTACCCAGTCCGGTCTGCAGTCTGCAGTCCGCAAATTATACTGACCGGCTATCATTCCAGAGCCTTCGACAATAAATAATAATAAGTTCTTTGAATGTTTGCATGGCGATAAAATATAATTGTTTTTGTTTGTGGAAACACCACGTAGATTTATTACTGCAGTAATAAATCTACGTGGTGTTTCCACAAACAAAAACAATTAATAAATAATAAATTGAAACATCGCGAAGGCTCTGGTTCAACGGGAAGATTCTTTGATTAATTAGTGGTTTTAGTAATTAGTACAGATTCTGTACTAACAGCACTAATTCTGTTCTGTGATCGACACGGTTTATAAATCAAAGAATCTTCCTGTTGAACCAGAGCTTTCGCAATGTTTCAATTCATTATTTACTGTCAAAGGCTTTGGAATCCAGGGTAGTGCTATCGTAACAAAAGAGGAACATTTGTTTGCTTTTTGAAATGAAATAGAACATATAATTATATCATTTTAATGACTTGCTTCCGATTTTCAGAGAGGTCTTGGAAACATTATTAATTGGTGATACTTTTGAAATATTCAGCAACTTGCCGATGAAATTTTTATAAAATATTGCCATAAAATATATAACATTCTAAGACTAAGGCTATATATATATTGATACTATTGATACTATAGTGCTGTTCCAACGTACAATAATGTGAAAAAAAGAAAAGAAAAAAAGAGATGAAAAAGTTTTTTCATCAAGTGAGAAAAATTTCCGGAGAAACTTTCCAAAATTATTGTCGCTCCAATATTGTTTAGGTCCATTTTTTAAGTATTTTATAAAGCGTATGCTATGTACGTGCTAAGAAGCTAGTTTTGTTGGCATGTGGAAAGCAAAAGTAGCGAAGGTAAAGAGATTAAAATTGGATTTAGTGCGTATTTATTAGCCCCCCCCCTCCCCCGTCGATGACATAGAGATTATAAATAACACTAGAGGAGGCATCGAGTTTAAAAATTGGGAACGCAGCTAATGGGGGGCAAATTCAAGTCCCGGATATAAAATCGTACTCTTATTGGCTGATTTGAAACTCGTCACCAATGGGAACACAAATACACATCCGGGACTTAAATTGTAGCCACGTTCCCTTTTCTTTACTGAATTAAGATTACGATGCCTCCTCTAGTGTTAGGGACGGACCATTAGAAAAGTGATGGGGGGGGGGGGGCAAAACCAAAAAAAAAAATTATTTCCAGAAAAAAATTAAGAAAAAAAAAATCTTCCCAGGCATAGTGCAAAAAAAAATAATTTCTTGCTTAGAAGATAGGCCAAGTGGTGTAGTGGAGGGAGGGCTCGAGGGTGCTTAGCACCCCTTGTTAAAATTTCATGTTGACTTGGAGGGGCTGAGCCCCCCTATGTTTTTGGCGCGTTGCATAATCTTAACAACGTCAAAAACACACACAAAAATATCAGTAAACGAGAATGTTCTTTAGAATTGTATCTCATTTTCAGTCATCATTTAACACAATAATGATTTTTGTAATCTTTATACCGCGTTGTTCATGCGCCGTAGCAAATTGGCTGTTGAAATACCGATCCTGTTTTGTCTGATTTAAACTCTATCCAGGGCTGTATCAACGGGAGGGGCTTGGGGCTGCAGCCCCCCCCCCAATAATTTGCTAATAAACATTCTTTTGACAA